CCTTGAAGCAAGTGAGACTATTCAATGGAAAGGTGTTCTTTACGTGATCTGGACCCAGGTCAGAAAGAAGAAACCTGAATGACTTCACTGGATGTTTTACCACAGATTCCTTGCCTTTCTATGGGTTGAAATCAGCTCTGTAAGTAGCAGTTATTTGGACTGTCCTGCAAGAGTATACACAGGAGGGTGGCCAGTTACTAAGGCTAATAGCATCATGTACAAAACTGGCTGATGATTCAGTTCAAGAAAACTTGAGGCCAGCAAGACACCTCAATGGGTTGAGGGTACGCTTTCCCTGCAGGAGGCCCAGTTTGATGTCTGGCACTGCCTGTTCCTCCAGCACCACCACAAACAATCCCCAAGGACTGAGCTGTAAGTAGCCCTGAGTGCTACCAGCCATGGACTTGAAACAAAGATACTCAAGACCAAACCCAAGGCAGTTTTGGGGGATAGAAAAATTCTTCAGCAGCAAGAGAATAGAACACTCTTTACCAGCAACTGACTCTAATAACATAATAAAATTTAAAACACAGGATCTGAACACTCTACCACTAAGCAGGCCCAGTGTGCTAAGTGTTTTAGAAACACCTAATCTTTAACAGTTACCTTAAAACAGAGATTCATAGCTAATCTCAACTCACAAATTAAAGAAAAGCAAAGGTCGGAATGGCTTAAGGTGACAGATCTAGGAATGACAGGTCTGGTATCCAAAACCAAGATTTTCTGACTCTGGTGTTGTGATTTTTGTCATGCTACCATACGAACTTGGAGAGAGAGAAAGAGAGAGACAGAGACAGAGACAGAGAGAGAGACAGAGAGACAGAAAGAGAGAACAGAATAAGAGATGTGATCTTAGGGAAAAAGGAAGCAGAGCATGACATCAATGGAGCAACCATTTGGAAGTCAAGAGGTTTATAGCCATTCATTCATTCAACACTTTCTGAATGTTTTTCCACCTCCTTCTGCTAGTAATTATGCTGTGCAACTCGGAACCACTGAAATAATCAAGGATATTAAGTAGCAGGACCTGGAAAGAATGGAGAGCAGCAAAATTTCAAAACATGCCCCGATGGTGAGGGAACCTCCCTCCCGAACAGCCCTAGCAGTGCAGGGTGTGCGTGGGGATGAGGGGGACCCATCCCCGGAAACAGCAGCAACAGACAAAGTGACACAGCAGTTGGCGATGAGCAGGTAGCTCTGCTAATACAGGCATAAGGGATCCTGGGTGGAAAAGCATTCGAATGTTTCAGTGCAATCTCTTCTAGGAATGGTGTCAGGGAACCAGTGTATGGAATAGATTCTCTTAGTGCATATTGGTGAAAAGACTAGTTATCAGCACCAGCCGGTCATCTATTCAAATGGCAGGCCATCACATAGAAAGTGGAGGAGTAGCACAGGAACCACTTCAATTCTCCAAAGCTCATGAACACTGAAAATATTCCTTAAACCCTAGATCTAAAGGACTCAGCCTTCATTTATCATGAAGGAGATGTTCCACTTCTACCATTCAAAAAATCCAACCAAGCCCTCTTTATTGTACACATACCTAAGTGACAGAGAAATCACAGCATGTTGTCAGTTATGTGCCAAAGTATGTTCCTTGGAAATAAGATGACCACAGGTTCCAGTTTGTCCCACTTTGTCAGCTCTGGTTTATGATGTTGTCCTGAGATCATTCTTAGTGTCTCATTTCATTCTCAGGTCTGTTCCAGTTGACCAATAAGGTCATCTAACCCAAAAAACTGCTTCTGGAGATAACAATTGCCTTGTTGTTCCCTGAACCTGCAATGTCCAATTTGTGCAGTAAAATTTAAAGAATATAGAAAAAAAAAGATAAAATCCAGGAAATGTGAAAAACATATATTAGCATCTAGTTTAACTATTTAATAAAATTTAATAAAACTCAATAAAATTTGGAAAACGTGTTAAATTTTAAACAAGCTCATTGTTACAACAAATGGCCCTGGGGCTAGAGAGAGAATATAGGGTCAAGGAGTTTACCTTCCATGTGGCAGACCCCAGTTCAATCCCTGAGCACAGACAGGAGCAACTCCAGAGTAGATCTGAGAGAAGACCATGAGCACTAGAGGGTGTGGTCCCCCAAATCCCCACAGCCCCCCCCACCCAAATATGGCTCTCCAAAGATTTAATATAATAATTTGTCATCAATTTCCAAGAGGGTCATATCCTGGGCAGCCATATTTTAGAACATTTAAACAAAAATTCTTTTTCTCATGAAATCCCAACACATTAAATGACAACTATCAAAAAATAAAGCTATGTTTTTGTTCAATAAATATCAGTACATCCTAGATTACTCTAGATACTGCAGTCACTGGTAAACAGGATTAAATCTTTGTCCTCGTGGGGTTTATATGCCAACGGAGAAGACAATAAATATGTAAACAAAGAAATATAATTTAGAAAATAATGATTTCTCTCCCACTTGATGGTGGAGGACAATAATGCCACTTCTCCTGTTTCTGAAGAATATTGATGAAACAACCCTTCTTCAGAGAAGAGTGGGTAATGATTCGTGTCTATCAAGTTACTGATGAGTGCAGGAGAGCTGACTCTATAGGCTAAGGTTCATGCTCTGCCTATGGACACCTGTGTATCATCCCCACTACCACATGCTCTCCTGAGTTCCACAGGAGTGACCCCAAAGTACCAAACAGGAGTAGCTCCCAGACTTTTGGTGCAACATTTCAAACAAATGCCATTGATGGGCACCATATTTTCTGAGAATTTTCCCTTAACAAATCTCCCCTGAACTGAGTGAACTTCATCTGGTATTTTCATTAGTATAATTGTGCCTTTGGGGGAGTCCATCTTCTTTGACTTTTGTTTATGGACTATATTTATAATATGTAGCTTTAATTTATACTCTTTGCTGTCCTATCTAGACTGAAGTATTATTAGAACAGCCTCATGTTCAGAAGAGATGTTTATAGTTGCCTAGCACCCAAGGAATAAATTAGAGCGAACGGAGAATTATTACATTTGATGTCATACACCGCACACACCCCCCCCCGCCACCCCCACCCCCTTGGGCTGGGATGAGGGACAAGGAGATGCTTTCTAAAAGAAAAAAAGAAAAATCACACAGAGAAGCCCTCCATGGTCTTTGATTGAATTTGTGAAGAAGAGAGACTCATATTTAAATGAAGAAGCTGAGTTTAAAAAAAAAATGTTCCCTCCCAAACAAAGCGAAAGGAAAGCCTCTTTATATTGCTGGGGCTATAGATGCCACAGGCTGAGCCTGTCCCCAAGCTTCCCTCCCTGTTCAAAAACTAAGCCATCTTGCTGCATTTAGCACTTCTCACCAGACCACCCACCCAGACACGGATACACAAACCACATGTGTGAGGAATGCTGTTCAGCGAGGAAATCAGTATCAGTATTTCAACCTTATTACTTGCACAGACGGCCCTTTTAGTGCAACTCATTTGTTTTATCTTTTCAATAGCTTTGATTATTTTCTTTTAATGGCTTGGATTTATCCTTTTCTACCCTTTGAAACTTCAGAACTCCATGGTGGGGCTGCGTGTGGTAGAAGACATGATTATGAGGGGAAAATGAGCAAAAAGCTTTGCTCTTACCCACCCTCTCTCACCACTCCTAGGGCCACTGCTGATTGCTCAGTGCCCTGAGTTATTAAATGGACGCAGGGACCTCCCGTTCAGTTGCAGACCAACTTTTGGTGCAATTTAGCAGCTATAGCATTCAGTTATACTTAATATTTTCCAATGTGTATACTTCTCCAATACTTGGAGAAATCATATTGGCTATGCTTATTTAATTAAGAGGAAATCAAGGCCAACAGGCTAAGCTTATTTTTTATAGCTTTTGAAAAGACTGGCAATGTCTGTGAAGAAGGGGAACATATAAGGTGTGGATACTATTAGCTGGCAGAGAAAGCAGACAAATTGAAACAGCAAAGGTATATGAAATGTTCTTTTTCAGTGGAATTTAGGGCAAAGAAACCAATATAACAATTAGTTTCTCCAAGAGTCAGAACAAACAAGACCACAGCGTAAGATGCTATGTCCCTGAATTAATCAGAGAGATCAGGGCTCAGCTGAACTGCCATTTCTCTCCAGGCACCTTGCATACCCAACTGGGAACAGGATTCGGAGGGATGGTGGAGCAAATATACAAAGGAAATCTGGCTCAGTATACTTCCGACGTGAGGGCATTTGAGATAACATGCTAACTGCCCCCAATAGGCCTACGATACCCACCATGACTTTCTCTATGCTGGAGAAAATGCAAGGTCATTATTTTAAAATAAACAAATGCCTATCTGTGCTGAAACAAGGGTAAAGATTAGTTCAATATGAGGGTGGTCATTAGAAAGCTTAACAGCCAGTCAAGCTCATCTGGAACTGATGCTTTCACACTTAAAATCAGTTTTCAGTTGATAAGATAGAAGATGACCCACTATCATTTCCACAGGGATCAGTCAGCCTGGAGATAGTCGAGTTTCTCAAATTCAATTTAAGTCTCTTTACTACTAACTATAAGCTTTACCTTCAAAGCCTTGGTTAGCTGCCAAATTAAAAATGAATGTTTTCTATTTTACACTAATTTTTCTCCTTCTCAATCAAAGAGCATTTTTTGGCCACTAATGTGAATGCCGGCCCGTTGTCAAACTGTCCCTGTCTAGTGAGAGAGTACAGCTTATGAACAGAACCTTCCAGAGGAATGGGTGGGAGAGAGGAAAGGAGAGGAAAAAAATCTCATGCATTAAGTCACCGGTTCATCCCAATCATATGCCAAATAATTTTATGTCCAATTTCTGTAGAACTCACTGGTTTTTAGACGGAAAACTGTGCTAGGCATTCAAAGGAAAATGAGGTGAAGACTGTGTGCCCAGTGGCTCTGGTCTCTCCATCTTTCTTCATTATGGTCAACCTCACTGTTTCAGAAAAGCTAGGAGCTCATTTTTTTCCTCTATTAAAGCAAAGCCACACTTTGGTGAAATGACTCTTAACAAATCAGTAAGACTATATATTGTAAAGAAAACGGAACCACAATAGATTAGATATAAATTTAAGTAAAACACCTATTTCTGTCAATCTGTACTTACATTTCAACATGTGTTTTCGAGACGGGAAATACATCTTACGAATGCCTTGCAGTTCACATAGTAGTATCTACACATACATACACAGTGTATCTTTCAACAGAACTACACATACACACTCCATTTAAAAAAGATACTGACAGATTTATAAAACGTATTGGCCTTGCATTGTTAATCTCAAGAATACATTTTTTACTTAATTTATTTTTGCACTGCATGGTAGCTCTGGCCACCATAAAGGATCTGTCAGCATTTCCATCATAACTATTTTCAGAATACTGGAGTACAAGCGCCAAAATACATATTTACAGTTTACAGACAGTGGTGGCTTTGTCTTCCTTTTATATTGACTTTGATGCATCTTTACAAGTAATATTCAGGGATGGTAGTGCCTACCATAAAAAGCATCATACAAAGCAAAAGAGGTCCAAAGATGTAGACTTCCAGCCCAAGACTAAACTAAGCAGCTGTAGTAGTCTTTATCATAGTCATGAATTTAGAGCAACAGTTCAAAGCAAGATTATAATGTATGAATGTGTATGCATTTGTATACAAAACGCTAAAGGTGGAAAGCAATAAGCATACAGCAAGCTACTTCAGCGCTGATCACTTCCACGGTGAGAAAAATGAACACAAGCCACCAAACACAAACACTGAACAGTTCCAACACTAAACATCCAACTCCATTACATAGGTAGAGTTAAAATATGTAAGAGTCACATCTCTCTTGAACAAGTATGAAAACCTGTTAATATGTGTGGGGCTTGAAACCATACTTGGGATGTTGCAGACCTATATGGACTTTGTAAGGTGGATTCGCAAAAGATATGAGCAAAACCTTTTTCTGCTGGGAAAAAACTTTAGTGAAAGATAACCAATTTTATTGGCTCTTTCCACAAAAAGGTGGGTAGATGTTCAGATTAGAGATTTTCTAAGCAATTTAAACATGCTTAAAATATTCAATTTTTGTCTTCTAGCATTTGTGTCTCCTGATCTCCAGTTTTACTGTGTTTCTATTTTGACATAATATGCAAGCATATATAGACATACACATTTGTTTACACAGAGCAGTGGATTATGATGAAAACATGATATAACTGTGTACATTCATATTAACTTGACCGCTATATCCTGCTAGAAACATCCCCTCTCATATATATATATATTGCTGCAAAACTAGAGGTAAAAGCTAATTTAGAAGGAAAAAGAAAAGTTCTGTACAAACATTTCAGCCCCTCAAATTATTGGGGGAAATTTTAAGGAAAGCTTATCATACTCTGGTGGGCTCAAATCAGAGGCACACTCATCCAATTCATTTTATTTGAAATATTATATTCATATACCAAAGAAATTAAACCCTGCCATTTATCCTTTGTGCTTAAAAATCAAAGTCACTAGTAGGATATACATGTGCCTAAATATTTTTCAACAGGTTTCAAAAGTGAGTGTATATAAAGGTGACAGATCTGTATGAGCTACTTTCAGGTTTAACTATTTGAAATTAATCAAAAGGGAATTTGTTATTTCTGTGGTTAAAAATTGGATGAGAGAAAGAGTATGATGTCTAAAGTCATGATATAACTTTTACTCTACTGAAATTTCATGAAAAACGCATGTCTTGCTGTCTTGATGAGTAGCAGGATGATGTTTTCCTGAATTCTGTTATCAATTTACAGACTTAAATTCTGAGATATTCTAAAGATACCTTCTTTTTTAGTTCCTAAATTTTAGGTCTAAAGTTCATCATTGCAATAGGTGTCTCTTCTGCATTATTCTTCCTTGCTTGATCATTTCTATGTCTTACAGTTTCTTGGTTAGTAACCTAAGGAATAAAAGAATCTTTACATTGCCATATCATAGTTTTTGCCACACAACTTATTACAAAAATAAAATGGCCCAAATAACATATGTACATTCCTAGCTAAACTACACAGACATTTTAGTTAAACCACATACACTTCTGGCTTAATTAGAATATGTGAATTAGCAGTTAGAAGTTTTAAAAGATTTTTAAATTTTGCAAATAATTCCATACAAGCATTGCCCTCCCCTTTCACCTGTAGAGTTAATAACAAAACACAACTAAAACCACACAATTCATCAGTCACTTAATGTCCAAAATGATTCAGAAATACTCTTTGTAATTAAACATTTAGCAGTGGACTACACAACAAATGCTTCAAGTACGGTTCATGCCAATCATCAAGAGTCATAACATTATTGAAAAAGTACAGTTGTCCTCAGCAAGGACACTTCAGAGAAGTAATTTACACGGAGCATGGCTGTATTATAATTCTGTTAAAGGAAAAAATAGCGTCTTTGGATAGAAAGAAACAATGTTAAAAAAATCCCCTTTTTAAAATGCAGAAAAAACTTCATTTCAGTCTGCATTTACATTACTACCCAAAAGAATGGGTCTGGAAAGACCATTTTCTGTACAGACACTAGTTAATCTCTGTATGAAAAGACAGCATCTGGCATGAGAATAAACAAGGGAGATACTGGTCTATTAGCACACATAGAGACTTTCTTAAGGCTGATCCAGTGAATGAACCTTTGGATCCAGAAGTATTTCTTCATTTCTTTTCTTTTCCGTTGAGTTCCTAGCAAAAACTTGGAAGATGAGCTGCTGTTCCCACTTTGTATTTCTCCATTTATGGAGAGGATGGAATAATGACACCAAAAGTACTTTGGTTGTTTTTTTTTCTTTTAAAAATAATTTGCTTTCTTTTGCATGCCACAGGACAGATTTCTAATTTCAAAACAGGGTACATCAAGAACAAAAATCTCCCTCCCCAAACCATCTTTATTTTCACCAATACAAGAAATCCTTCTGGAAACATAAGCAAGGGACTAAGCAGGTATTGAAATCACTGAATCTACAAGTTAATACATAATCTGTTATGGCAGAATAACCAAGAATTTTTCCTCAAAGAAAGATTAAAACTTTCCAAATATAAAAAAATGTCCATGAGGATCATATGTGAATAAACAGAAATCTCTCATTCCAGGTTTTATGGTAAAGATGAATAATAAAACACTGACAGCCAGAGAAAGCTGAAACTCTTACTAATAAATAGGCCCAAGTAAAGAATTTCTACAACATTTCTTTAGAAAACAGAACCAGAATTCCTTTTTTGAAAAATAAGGATCCTGTGGAATGCCTTTTCTTCCATGTTTATCTAGTATAACCATAAAACAGACACAAGAATTGAAATGTGACGACAGCTCAACAATATGGATGCAGGACATTTACAGGTACACTTGTTTCAAAGTCCTACAGGTTTATTGACTAAGGCTAGACAGCAATTCGTATGATCCTATTTGGTGCATTTTCTACCATGGTCCAAGATCATTATATGGATACAGCCAAGTTGTGGGCCCCAACTTTCAATAAAAAGATCACAAAGAAGAAAATCAGGGCGGCTATTTGGTCCCCCCAGTTGAGAATTTGTGTCCTGGAAGTTGGAAAAACAAAAGGTGGAAAATACAGAGACTGCAACAAGTTAAAGGACTTGGAAAAAGTTGGTGGAGAGTGGCACGGTATACGAGTAAGGTCATTGGGCTTGGGATGGCAAGGGCGCTGCATTGAAAGAGCATCCACGGGACCAAGTATTTATAATGTCTTGTGGGGTCATTCCCTCAACGACTTTAGAATATCTGTATGCGACAATAAATAGATCAGTTATGTAATAAGGCAGTGTGTTGAATATGCATTCGTCCTGTGGAATGAACCACCACAGAGAGATACATGATACCATACACATTCTTTAAGTTTTCTTGTGTTGTGTTTGATTTGTTTGTTTTCAAGGCTATCCAGGCTAACTCTTCCCGGGGATTTCCTTGGAGAGAAGAGTGGTCCACTGAGGCTGGTTTGCTTAACCTCTCCTTTATCAAGAGATGATGACTGGCTTTAAAGAAAAATAAAGCTGAAAGTTGTTCGATTTTTATTTTTTTCCCTTTTGGTTGCATCATTGAGTGTTTTCATATAAACAAATAAAAAAATCACAACCAAAAAAAAAAACAAAAACCAAACCACCAAAACAATAGTTTTTTGATGCATCCAGTTGTTGTATCCTCAGGATGTTCCAGATGTTTCCAGGTAACTCTGTAGTTTACGAACTGTGGTTTTGTCCAGCGAGCAAAGGTCAAAATCAAATGTTGTGTTTGTGATATGAAAGTGTCCAGTTTCTTCTATAAGGTTCACAATCTAAAAGAGCAAAGAAAGTTAAGTTTGGGCAATAGGCAACAGACATCAAAAGACAGAGACAACTGAAGGAGGTCAAAATATTATGTATATTATTCTCAAGCGGGCCCAGTAACGTCTCCATTGGAGACTTTGTTGTTACTGTGTTTGACATATCGAATACTCTCGGTAGCTTGCCGGGCTCTCCGAGAGGGGCGGAGGAATCGAACTCGGGTCAGCCATGCTGGCCGCTTGTAAGGCAAACGCCCTACCGCTGTGCTATTGCTCCAGCCCAATATATTATCCTAAGTGTATAATATTTTCATTTGGAGACCAAAAGCTCCTATTCTAAGTGGGGGTGGGGTGGGTTGAGTGTGAGCTAACTATCTCTTAGTGAATTTATTAAGTCAAAGAATGTTATCAAAGAGAGCAGACAGCCAGTTTTTGTCATTCATGGAAGTCCTGCTTTCAAGTCAATAGCCTATACTAACCTAGAGCGGTAAAAATTTTTCTGCTTTGTCTCACAGTCATATCCCTGGGTTAGTAGCATACCAAGATTCCTTTAAAAAGTGATTACCCCTTTAGAGACAGAAGGGAATTCCTAGCAATAATAAAGGTTTTTTTTTTTTTAAAAAAAAAGGTATACAGTTCTATGCATAAATATGCACACAGGTTGCATAAATATGCATTCAACTCTCCTTTCTGATTACCTTATTGTTGAAAATTTAGAAATCAAAGAATCCTAAAAGAAACATAGGAAAGGGTCAAGGAGATGCCCACAAGGCAGAAACTTGGGAACTTTGCCAGTAAGAACATGCACCCCAGTCCCCCTTTGTTCCCAGAGTATTGCTGGATATTGTACCCAAAATGAAAAATACACTAAAAAAAGGAAGAGAAAAAAATTATTTATGATCCCCTGTAGATCATGGACAATCACTGGAAAATGGACTAAAGGAAAACTTGGGGCATAGGAACTATTATTTGCTCGAGCGGGCCCAGTAACGTCTCCATTGGAGACTTTGTTGTTACTGTGTCTGGCATATCGAATACTCTCGGTAGCTTGCCGGGCTCTCCGAGAGGGGCGGAGGAATCGAACTCGGGCTGGAGCGATAGCACAGCGGGTAGGGCATTCGCCTTCCAAGCGGCCAACATGGCCGACCCGAGTTCGATTCCTCCGCCCCTCTCGGAGAGCCCGGCAAGCTACCGAGAGTATTCGATATGCCAGACACAGTAACAACAAAGTCTCCAATGGAGACGTTACTGGGCCCGCTCGAGCAAATCGACGATCAACGGGAGGGCCTTTACCTTTACCTTTAGGAACTATTATATTGTTTAATTTGGGTACTGGCTACAATCACTTTGTTCATCTCATTGGAGATTTTTGTAAAACTTTAAATTTTAAAAAGCATTTTTCCTACTTCTCATTCTACTCACCCTTGAATACTCAGTGGTAAGCATTATCTAGGAAAAGAAAGCAAGCTTCTAGTTGTCTTTTGGGAATAGTTAGACCTCCTTTCTTACTGTATTATAACTTTCAAAAATATGATAAACAAAACTGGGGACAGAGGCATGGTTCTTTCCCTGGTTCTAAGGAACATGCTTCTGAAGTTTTAGTAGTAAGAGTGATGTTGGTCAATGTTCCATTCTCATTTTACTAATAATTTTACTAGAAGTGAAGATCATCCCTAGGTAATGCGGATTCTTTTGTTTGATTTTGTTTGGGGGTCACACCCAGCCGTACTCAGAGATTACTCCTGTCTCTGTGCTCAAGGATCACCCTGGGAGTCAGGGAACCATAAAGCGTATGGGGATGGAACCCAGGTCTGCCATGCAAGGCAAGTGCTTATGCACTGAATTGTAGTGTGTATTTTAAGTAATCTATCAAAAGTCCCCTAAAAAGATGTCCAGATTAAGTTCCCATATCAAAGGCCTGACAGACTGAGCCACTCCTGCTAAAATAAGCAGCTGTTCCCAGGAAGTTGTAGGGGCCCCAACATTACTCCATTCTGCCCACAGTTCCTAGAACTGGCCTAGGCAACCCTGCCTTATCAGTTTGTCCCAGTAACACATACATTCTATGCCTTTGCACCCAAATTTCTAGAACTGACCACACGACTCCCTTCACAAATGGGCAAAAAAAATATTTAATTATCTTTATATGATTGGCTCAGGACATTTCAGTTTATCCTAATTACATAAAAAGAATTTTTAAAAATCTTTTCTGTGTGATTTGCCTTAGAATATTTTTTATATAATTTACTTTTACCCTGAAATTGGGTTCATGGTTCCTGCTTGCCCCCTCCTAGGAGAAAGCAGAAGTTTCCCTCCTGAAGCAGCCCAGGTAAAGTGTCCCCTGAGTAAGTTAGACACGTTTCTCTCTTTAGAGGCCTCCACTCCGTCAGTCTTTGCAGTGAACCTTCTTTCAATGAACTCACTCTGCTCTACCTAAACTGTCTTGCTCCTGGTAAATTCTTTTACCATTCCAAGGCTTCGACCCAGTTTGGGTTTCAGCACTTCCTTAGGCCCCTTAATTAAGAATGTGTGTACACTGGGGGAGCAGAAAGTACCACACATAAGTAAGGCATTCGCCTTGCATAAGGCTGACCTGTGTTCGATCCCCAGCACTATATATAGTCCACTGAGCCCTGTCAGGTATGTTCCATGAACACAGAGCTAGGAATAAACCCTGAGCACAGTGAGGTGTGGCTCAAAAACTTATTTGAAAAAAAGAAAAAAGAAAAAAAAAGCATGTCTGCTGGGGCAAATTGACCTGGCAGAGGAAGAGGGTGATTTTTGCAAGATTTGCAGGGGAAAAAGCAAAATGAGCATTGGAGAATACAAATACAACTCAGTGTTCAATTCTTTCTCTCGCCTCAATTATTCCCTTTCTATAACTCATTTCTGAGATTTTATTCTAATAATCTTTTTCTAAAAGTGTAATTATTCAACATTTTATTTCTTAAATGAAGTTTTAGATGAGTTAATTTTACGTTGAAAACAGCAGCATGGAAACTTTTGACCTTCTCTTTTACAATTGGTTTTCTTAAAAGAAAAAAAAAAGAGTAAATTTGTGAACTATTCACTCTGGGTCAGTGACTTGCAATAGAAAATGTGTTTCCCATTCCTCCTGTATTTGACTTCCACGGGAACATAAAAGACACATCGAGCCCCAATCCAATTAATTGCACAACTCTGGGTTGGCTGTTATGGCCTTATTCAACCTTTGTAAGTGTTTTTTTTTTTTTCAGATAAACTATGAGTTTAATAATCAAGCTAGTTACTCCCATGGCAAAACCATGACAGACACAGCAAACAGCCTCTCTAATGTCCACTTAGCCCCTCTCCTTACTAACAGAAGCTTTATTTTCAGAGTGTGGCATCGTGCCCAGTTAAAGTACTTGGCAGATACCACTCCATACAACCGACTGGTTAGAAGCCTGGAAATGTTTTGAAAAGAGCACCACCCACAATGGGCAAGTGCCTTCTGCCCTGTGCCCTGGCTCTGGTCTGGAATGAAGATGTCTTTTGGAAATGCAGCAGCTATTTTCCCTTCATGAAGATGGTTGCGAGGTATGAAAGATGGCAGATCAGGAAGGCAAAGGGATGTTCTCAGCATGGTTTCTTTCAAGCCACTACATTGCCTATGGAAGACTTACCTCCCAGCCTCTAGAACCCTAGAGTGGGAGAGGGAGTGTCACTGCCTTAAACACTGGACTCAGTGCTGAAGAGATTACTAAGGGGATAGGAGTTTTCCCAGTTGTAATTAAAAGTACAACATGTAAGTAGAATTGAACAAGAGGGTAAAGGAGATAGCCCGAAAGATTACACAGCTCAGGCCTTGCCTGCAGACACCCTGACTTTCATCCTCAGCAATGCCTGGTGTCCCCGGGATTGTTGCACCCATGCAGTGCTGCATCACTGGGCCAGAACAAGGAATCATTACACTACCACACAACTGTGTTGACTGTGACCAGGAATGGCCCCATGCCTTAGGCACTATTTGAAAGACCTCTCTAAAAGAATTATTTCTTGATATAATTCATGAGCAAGATTTTCTCATAAATACTGAAATATACAAAAAGATCCACTGTCACTTACTTGATTAGTTCATAATCACAGAGCTTCGGATAAGTTAGCCTCCTACAGTTACATATATACAGATGTAAGCAAAATTCTATGATTGCACACAGACCTTTCAAGGCGAGCATGTGCTCATGATACATTTACTATTGATTGAATTAGTAATAATGTCTAGAAAGCACTCTTGTTTTTCTTATCGTGTAGAAATACTACAGACTTTGTGAAAATGAGTATATTTCCAAGAGAAACAAATAGTCTTTCAACTTGTACAATGGCAGCAAATGACAATTATTTCAAAGAGACTCCTCTTGCCAACCCTGTTCACTGGACTGAATGTTCTAACTTCTCAGTCTTTCATCTGTAAAATGGGGTTCAGGCCACGTGGGCACACTCCCCACTCCCCTTCTCAGCAGTGCAGTGCATCAAATAAGATGCAGTCCACGAAGCTTCCTTATAGCCTGTAAATTGCTACAAATATCAGTTAAACATGATTTAATTACTATTTAAATATAAACTTAATTATGTCAGAGAAAACTCTATGGGAACAAATGATCAGACCCAGTGGTTTTGTCTCCAGCCATCCTTGCCATTTCATTAGCATTAAAACAAAGGAAATAGTAAATACTACAAACTAAAATTCAGAACAGACCAACTCAAAGTTTGAAAAAAAAATAACAACAGAAGTTTGCAGGGAGAGAGCAAGAAAACTGGGAGAAGAGGGAGGGAAAAGAAAAGTAGTTGGATAACAAGCTAAAACCACAATGGGGTGAAAAGTACAAGTCTAGGTTTTCTCTTTAAAACGATGGACCCTCATACCATGCTTAAAAAAAATAGCTTTCTGTCTCAATGTTTCATGCCTCACTTATTACTTAACAATAAACAGAAAACAGAATAATAAAAATATCTCTGAGAAAAAAAAGCCACTTGATTTTAAAGCATAATTATACAATTGCCCACTAGGAAGTTCAGGCCTTTTCACATCACATCATTATAATAACTTGTTGGTTTCCAGGACTTCAATCATAGTCCTTCTACTTCCTGCACAACCAGCAAACCCCACCTTGCCTGCAGCCACAAACACACCAAGATAAGAAAGAATCTGATCAATCTAATTAAGGAGCCCTGCGATTTTATGAGAACCTCTAAGAGCACATCAAGATAAATGCAGAACACCCTGAAAGCAGAAACGCGGAGCTATTTGCATAAGGAAATGGAATTAGTACTTTGAATTATGAGAGCATGTCTTGGTGTCCTCATCTAAAGACTTCAGAGGAAAAATAAACACGGTTTCTTTTTTAAAGAACATGTAGTGAGAGGACCAAAAACACTGTATTACAGGACTTTCTTCCAGTGACACAAGTCACAAGGCCTAAATACACCCTGCTTAGCCACAAAGGATGCCACGGTGTCTCTCTCTGCAGGAATCCCCAGCTCAGCTGATGCACCAAGGCATGGAACTGCAATAAGTCCTAGAAGACAGTGTCTGCTTCTAAGGGACATGGACAGGGACACTGGGGCTGTGTGGGGAGTAGAAAGGAGGAAAAAAACATGTTTTATCAACTCAGTCCTCCGATTATGGTGGTTGTGAAAACACTTGTAATAGATTTTTTTTTAATAAAGCAGTGTGTGTGTGTGTGTGTGTGTGTGTGTGTGTGTGTCTGAGCATGTGGGGTGGATGGGGGTTGTTACCACTAAAACTTTTATAAAATTTAAGCAGGGCAAATCAGTTCATTAAATCAGTGGCTCCTTTTCACAACCCTGTTTACAACGGTGGACACAGTCTTCTTAGAGTGTCTATTTTAAAAAAAAACAACAAAAAACAACAAAACAAAAACCAGGGTTCTTTCTGCCCAGAGTAGCCTCTTCATGGAGTGAGAAGTAATCAACAAGGTCTGCTATAAAGGTCCTCCTGCCTACATTTGCCAAGCCAAGTTTGCGCACTCTTACATCTTCCTGTAGTGTGGCTGTGGCTCTAGGCTGGGAAGCACTGGGCACTGAGTGACCATGAACCTCTAGGGTCAGAAGTGGTCTTCAGGCTCTAGTCTACAAGGGACTCAAGAGGACAGTTTCCCTGGAGGGCGAAATCCTTTCCAGCAGGACACATCTTTGTGGTCAGGAGGAAACTCCCAGAGAATCACTGCTTATTCCCTATCTCCCCAAAAATGGTTCTGAGAGTCCAAGAGCTATTACCTCTGTTGCTTCACTGTCTTTAAAGCAGTCCTGATTTTCCTCACAGCTTTTTTTCCTTTGCTAAGTCAGATGCAAATCTAGACTCTGAGTCGAAAAGCTAGAAAAGTTAGACAGACTCAACCTGCATCTTCAAATAAATACGGGATGCACAGTATAGAGAAAAGCCCACTTCTCAGTCAGTTCTAGGTACTGACATCTTGCTACAAGACTGATCTTTACTCTTTGGAAAAACGACAAGAGACAAGATTAGAATGGAGTGACAGTATAGTTTTCAGTACATGGCCCACCCAGGTTCAATTCCTGACACCATGTATGCGCTCTCCAAGATGGGTGCCAGAACTGTACGCTTCCAGAGTAAAACAAAGAGATGAACCATTTTTAGAGAGCCAAATAAAGCTGCCAGACCAGAGTTTTTTGATAAAATGCATCTAATAGGAAATAACCTAGTGTGAGAGCCCAGGCTCCCCACAAGTCTCCGTAGGTGTTGAGTTCTGCCTGCAGAGGACAGACAAACGGGGTGGAATGTGTTCCCGTGAAGAGCAGATCTCAAGGTGGAGGATAACATTAGTCCTCAATAGTGCTACGTTTTACAATAGGAATTAATTAAGCAGTAAACCGTGACAGGACATGCATCATGGTATCATAATCACAAGCCTCAGCTGCATTACAAGGCAAAAGGCCAAAGACCGAGAGCTTTCAACCAGCCTGGGAATGCAATTAGGGTGAAACGCTGTGCACCCTGGAGTGCCTTTATGCCAGGTTAAAAATTCATAGATCTCCTTCTCTCCCTCTAGAACACTAAAATAATCTGCTTTGATGGAATTCTCTAGTCAGCCACCTTCCCTCACATTCTTTCAAAGGTCAGAATAAAGGACATGAACCTGGGAATGCCAATGACACCAGAAGGGAAGACCCTCAATAGACTCATCAGCTGGGCCTCCTTTGTGCAAGTGTCGACCCTCCCCAGACATCTGTCCTGCTCTCCATTTTGGGTTCGGCTCGGGTATTAATAGCTTTTTTTTTTTTTTAATTTTGGACAACTGCTCCACAGTGGCCCAGAGAAGGAGGGGAGGATCAGCTAACAGATTTACCACCACCATTTGGTCAATTAGGCCCAAATAATTGGTTAAGTGGCAGGCAGAGCATATCTCAGTTCTACAGAAGAAAAACGGAAGGAAAGACTATCAAAGTACTGGGAAATGTCTTAGGGCAAGTTACTCGAACCTTGCTTTCCTACTGATTACACACTTAAATGACAATGCAAAATATGTCATTTAGTCCCAATTAAGAATTATAGGTCTGAGGTCAGAAAGATCGCTCGGATGGGCAGGAGTGTGTGTGCTCTGCGTGTTAGAGGCTGGCTTTAAGCCCATACATCGCATGGCTCCTTGGGCACTTCAAGGAGTGACCCTTGAGCATGTGACCAGAGTGATCCCTGAGCACCACCAGGTGTGGCCCAAAAAAACAAAACAAGACAAAAAGTAACTCTAGGTGTCTACTCTTTTCTTCAAATCTGAAACTCTGAAAGAGTTAAAAGCTTATCAGGGTAATCAGGAAACTCGGCAAGTCTGAGAGTGTGCAGTTATAGGTTTTAGTAAAAATGTACACAGAATATAAATGTGACCATAAATATGACTGTCAGAGTATTAATGTGGCCATTAAACATGAAAAAGAAAAAACAAAAACTAACCCACACACAGCTGGAGTAGATTAAGTACAAGTCATTTGAAAACAGTAAAAATAAATAAATTTAAACAGTGAAATAATCTACAAAATTTCCCTGGAATTTAGAATATTACCTTCTCTCTGGGCATTAAAGGAAACTTATGTTATTAATACCCACTTCTAATGCAACGAACACACCATACTGTACCTGTATGAAAACTAAAACCACCCTCTTATCTCAAGGCATCAAACTGTAGTAACAGAGCTTTCCTACTCTGCAAGTCTTCCACAGCTAACCTTTAATAATAGAATGTATGCTGTACAAAATAAGAGAAATGAGGAAAGTATTAATTTTCCTTGGAATAGCATAGACAAAAGGTTACTAAATTGAATCGCAAAATGTTTACAACACTTGACTGAATTTCTTATCACTGTTTTCCTTGGATACCAGTAGCTGGGCCCAAAAGCTTCTACATTCTCCTTTTTGGTCAATGTTCCGGCCTCCACGGAGAGATGGGGTCATGCCAGCCACATCCTCTCCAGAAACGCATTGCTCTCCATGGTGGCAACACAGTATTTGACCAGCTTTGGAAATAAGTGCCTTTCTTAAATAACTGGAGCAGCCTGAGCCCTGTTCGGACCATTGGGGGCTGGTCTGGGCTCTGGTTCTATCACCTGGCCCTAAATCAAAAGAGTTCTGGAGGTCTCTGGAAGGGGCTGTTTGATGAAACAACTCTCACCTGTTGCAGAATGTGTCTTTCCCTCAGCGTCATTAACCTTCTGTGGAGCTCTACCAGTTCATCTAGGTATGCCTGCAAGAGAAGAGCATCCCCCCACCCCGACATAAGAGTAAATACACAGGAATGCACAGGCAGCAGGTGGGTGCACAGCACTCTGCTCCCCTCCGCTCCCCTCCCTTCCCTGCTGCAGACTCAGTGCCGGGACTCAGTGCCCGAGGCCACTGCAAGCTCTCTCCCAGCCACCCATACCATAAGGAAGGTGCCATCTTTCAAAAGCCCATTTCTTAAACTTTTTATTTCCAACAAGATACCAGCAAGTACACTCATTCTTTCTTTCCCAGCAAGGATTGAACAAATGAAAAGAGGAACGATCAGGAGTCTCTTACTGTTTTCAGGTTTTCAACCTTCGACACTCTTTATCAGAGAAATGGAAAAAGAGACCGTACATAGAAATATCAATGGCCATTACCAATAATGTCATGGAAAAAGCCAAATTTAAAAAAAAAGTCTTCTCAGGACGAAGAGGTTTCTCAAAGGGCCAGCATGCATGTTTTGCACATAGGAGGCTCAGTATGCTTGATGTCCAGCATTTCATGGACCCCAGAGCACATCACTATACAAGAGCAACTCACTAAGCATTACTGGATATGAATATCCCCCTCTCCAAACATAATAATAATAATAATGATGATGATGATGATGATGATAAAAACTAGCAACAACAGAAAAATCTGATAGCTCCCTCTTTCATTTGCTGAATCTTTGCTGGAAAAGAATGAGTCGACTTGCTGGAATCTTGTTGGGAATAAAAAATTCAATGTTCATAGCTAACATTGCTAATAGCATTAACTGACAGACAGAAGAATGTCTTGTGAAAATAAAGAGATCATTATCTAAATCAGCAGAGATGTGTCTCTATCCATATGCAAACTCTTGAAACATTTTTTTAGCATTACGATATGGATGTTCCTAGAGCCATTTGCAGTAAAAGCAGAGGAAAAGGCTGATAAGGCAAGTACCCGGGTTGGTCCTGAATTCACAAAGCATGCATGAATCCAGTCCACACCAGGTGACTAAATGCACCCCTCACCTCAAAAAGGTCTCACAGTCAGACTTCAGGTACATGATGCACATTTGTGCAAAATATACTGAAATGCCCAGGTCATCTATGTCTGAGATTCGTTAGCAACTATATACCTTTACCCGAAATTCTACTATCTCCCAAATCAATATACATTAAATGCCTCGGACAAGGCAGAGATCATGCCAAATGTGGCGTAAAATCAATCTAAATATTGAGACGTAATCAAAACTTGGAGAATAAACTCTGAGACACTATGAAAAAGTGCTCATCATTTCAAAATCTTGGGTACTTCTGAGAAACAAATGAAGAACCATCAAAGATGATCAAGAGAGGGGCTGGAGCGATAGTACAGCGGGTCGGGCATTTGCCTTGCACAGGGCTGACCTGGGTTAGATTCCCAGCATCCCCATATGGTCCCTTGAGCACTGCCAGGAGTAATTCCTGAGTGCAGAGGTAGGAGTAACTCCTGTGCATTGCTGGATATGACCCAAAAAAGAAAAAAAAGTGATCAAGAGAAACAAAATAGAACAGGTATTTCTGGGCTGAGGCCTTCACAGTAAGGACTGTAAACCTACCTTGTCGCATTCACCATTCTTTATTTGTTTATCTGATTTGCTTTGCTTTATTGGACTTTTCACTTCAAGAATCTAGGGATCAAAGAGAACATCATTAAATTTGACTGTAAGCACTTCTCAGCTAACCTTCTCCCAAGACAAAGACATGAATGAAATATCATACAATAACATCACTTTCCAAGTAGCATTGCACTTCTATACACTTTTTGTCTCTTCTAATCTTACTTTTTCTTGGTAAATAAATGACTTGTGCCTAAAATGCTGAGTCAGAGCAACAGAACTTACAGAATAAAACTTGATAAGGAACCTGACCTAGGCTCCCAAGGCTGTATCTCTCTCGTGCCAACACTCTCACACATATGTACAACAGCTGAGTTATACTGGATTATAGTCCCCTCTGGCAAAAAATTTTCTTATACATTCTGCTATTTCAGCATGGCTACCAAGGCTGGGTATGTTACAGATGATAACACAAACACTGAAATATGCTTTTTAGTACCTGGCTGGCCTTACTCATATGTCCTAAATTGACACAGCTTAAAAAAATGAAGAGGGTCATCAGTACACTGACGGTTTCCGACTTGGGATCCTCCAAGCCAACAAATCAAAGCTGGGACTGCTTTCTATGTGGTTACCTATAAAAAAATATCAAATGGCTTTTCTTTCATCTGGATCCATTTTAGTGTAGATATAAATACTAGTTTTGGTACAGTTCATGTGCTTCAATGAGGAGAATCTATGTTTCTAATTAATAAAAACAAGAAACAATGATTAGTTGACAAACATGGTTGATTTATTGAAGAACATAAAGAAATTTGAGGATCAAATTGAGGATCATAAAGAAAATATTTAAGTGTCCTTTGTTTAAAATGGTTGAGAACCACTGCAATTATTGATAAGTGTTCACAAATATATGTGAACTAACAAAGCTATGTCATTTGCTTTCTCATTATAACCTCATCACCAAGTGAGTTGTATAATCTGAAGATAAGTTTGAGGAGGAAAATGTCCAATAAAGGACTTGCTCTTGCTTAAGAAACCTTATACTCCTAATGCTCTTTTTTTTCATTCTAGGCAATAACACACACACACACACAAACACACATCTCAATTCTGTTGAGAGGTTTATCATATTCCACAAGACAAAGAATATTTTACAAATCAGCCCACTCTTGATTTGCAGCGGAAAGATCACTGATTGATACTCAGAGACATTCGGTCCCTAGTCCTATCATTTAACACCGGGGCCTCAAAAAATGAGATGAATGAGGGATGAATAAGCTACACGCAGGTTCTCATTCAATTATAAAAGTTCATACATCAAATACTGTACTTGTTGAACACAGAACCATGACATTTAAAAAAGACTAAAATGCTTCTAAAAAAGATCTATTTTTCTTTTAAGTTTAGAATAATGCTTGTGTAAGAAGTGAGTTTTTCTCATGGGGTTTTTCCTAAGTAAATTGCCTTTAAGTCTTCATTTTTTTTTAACGTTACGATAACAGATATCCAATTGGTCAGGCTAATTGAAAGTCCAATATTTTTGGCAACACAAATCACTTAATAGCACAGGTAAGGCAACCATTTTTTAATAGCACGTTCCATCAGGAAGAAAGCCAAAATCTCCCGCACGGCTCAGAATTTCCTCCTCTCTATTGTTGTTGGAAAGGACCTCCAGGGAAAACTGAGATGTGAGATTTGCGGTAAGCAGGTCAGTAGATGGCACTCCTCGCCAATGCAGATACAGAGCTTGGGGCCCCGAGCAGAGACAATCTGCTGAGATTTCAGACAGAAATCTATTGAGAAAACAAGCCCGATGGCTTGCCTTGTTTGTGCACTAGAAAAACGGAATCGTCTTCCCCTCATCCTGAGTCCACCTCCCGCTCCCGTTCCCCAAATCCCTGTTCTGTCCTCGTCAAAGTAACAAGGTCTCCGAATGTGTGACAGAACTTTGCTAGCTAGGCTTTGCGTGTTCAGCCACGTTTCTTTACAAAGCAGAAAACAGACAACATTCGGGTGCTCCAATCCCACCCGACACATTCCGAAAGTGCTACAGCGCAGAAGGCCAAACTACATTGAAATCCCAGTTTCTTTCTTCTGAAGCGGCAGTGGCAGGAACAAAAGCTCCGGGTGTCAGTGATCCGCCTCAAGTTACTGAGTGGCTGCCCAGAGAGGGCTCAGTTAATCTTCCTGCTTTGATCTCTCCCAGCTCCAAAATAAACAGCTTTGTCAAAACCTCATTCGGAGGGAGCTGAGCCATGCTGAAGACAATTGTGTTATTTATGATCATTTCTTATCTTGAAGGAAACAACTCTAGAATATACAAGTATAGCACCTTGTCTTCCATGGGATTATTTCAAACCAGTTTAACTGGATAGACTCTTTCATTTCATTCAACATGCCTTACAGGCTGATAGGTGATTTATGATATTCTGAATATTAACTTGAGTCCAGTGGATCACCTCCTTCTTCAGGCTCTCCTCTCCTCCCTGCCCCCCCCCCCCATCTAAAAAAAGATTAGATATTTTGCATTTGTTTAAAATTCACATTACTGGAGGTTTGAGGTTCTAAAAAACAAAACAAATTTTTGGTTAAAAGGCTTGGCACTCACTATTATTCTAAGTGACACTGAGGGAAAACAGCCCCCTAGACTGCAATGATACCCCCTTTATACACATGGCCATCTCTGAAAGTAGGCTGTGACCAGCGGCTCTCCAGTCCTTAATCAGAGTAGAGGGTTGGAAAACGAAAATTTCAAGATTATTATTTTTCTGTACCCCTTTGAGAGGACTGACAACTTAATTATATTCAGCAGATGGATTCTCCATTGGTAAATCTTTCATGTTAATGATCACTAGTAGCTCCAAACAATACCCAGGTTAATGACTTGATTTGTTGACATGTGGCACGATGCAAGAGCTTTGCCGCCCCCCCCCCCCCCACACACACACACACACGCGCACACACACTAGAAAATGTTTGATTCAATTAAGCACTTTCCCTCTTCTCTAGTCACTGGGAGATTTGAGAAAAGGTAAAGAAAAACCTTAGCTTTGCTTGAGTAATTTACAGAAATTTGAGAGATCATTATCACTTTGCAAACAGAGAACAGCTAAGGGGTACGGAAGGAGGAAATTTAGTCTTACTATTTCACAGGCCTTCCTGGTACTTTTTTTTCATCTATTTTATTTGAAATGAAATTCCAGAGTCTGTCTCTCTTTGTCTCTGTCTCTCTCTGTTTCTCTCTCTCTCTCTCTCTGATATGACTTTAGATTTTTTCTTCTTAGGTCACACCGGCAATTCACAGGGGTTACTCCTGGCTCCTGCACTCAGGAATTATTCCTGGCAGTGCTCGGGAGACCATATGGGATGCCAGGGATCAAATCTGGGTCTGTCTCATGCAAGGCAAACACACAGTGCTATCACTCTGGCCCTGACTTTAGATTTTTAAGTGATTTTTCTTTTTTAACTATTTCACATCATTGCCATGGAGAACTAAGAAAGTCTAGACTTTGTTCTAAGAAGTCTCAAATACTGACTTAGTGGAATAGCATCACACCTGACCCAGGTGAGGAGAGTGGTTAGGAAAATAATCCCAGATTTCAAAAAGCTCTTCTTGGGTTAGGAAGATAGTTCCAGAGCTGGAGCACATGCTTTGCATATGGGAGACCCAGGTTAGATCTCTAGAAACACAGGATCGCCCAAGTATGGCCAGGAGTAGCCCCTGAGCAACTGCTGGCTGTGACCTCAAAATAAAACAAGCAAACAAATAAGGTTGTCTTGATTTCTCAGGTCGAAACACATCATGCTGAGGTGGTGAGCACTCCTGTGGTACATGTACTTCCTTCCCTAGACTAGCTAAAAAAATGAAAGCAGATGGACTTTCCCATTATGACAGCAGAAGGGGAAAGTAACATGAAGCTGCATATTCCTGACAGATTGATGATTCACATGTGTGAAGTTATATTTGTCAAATAAACATGTGCCAGGGAACCAGTGGTATGCTATTTAATTCAATAAGGTGCATTTTTACTTTCTTCTGGTAGATGACACCATTGACTTTTGTTTTATTTTGCTAGACTGATTTGAAAAACAAAAATGTCTGACCAACATTCTGCAAGCCAAGGGCGGTTCCACATTACCCATCCAGAAATTATGTAAAGATAACTATTATGTTTGTAGGACAAGACAGGAACTTGCTGGAGCTGCTTTCATTTAGCAAGCATGGGGTCAGGGAGATAGTTCAATGAATAGGGCTGACCTCGGTTTGATCCTTGACATCCCAAATGGTCCCCTAAGCATCACCAGGAATGATTCCTGCCTGTAGAGCCAGCAGTGATCCCTGAACATAGACATGACCCCCACCCCCACCCCAAACAAACAAACAAACAAACAAAAAAACCCATTTAGTAAGTATAACTTTAACCTGTCCTGGGAAAGATGCTGAAGGAGATCAGCAAGGGATACATGTGCACACCCCTAGATCCCAGCCCTAACACTGCTGCCTCATGAAATATTTTTATTTTTCTCTATTTTACATCACCTACTAGAAGCAGAATCAGGCCTAACTAGATTTAGAGTGGATATAAAGATATGGTCAAGGTCCAAATTAAAATTTTCTATAATCTCCGACTAAAGCACAAATTTACCAAAGACCCTCCCCTGACCTGGTTATCTCACCCAGCACTGATTGGTCATGAGCATTTCTGCCTTTCATCTTATTACCCACCTTGAAATGTTTGCTGAGAGGTATTAAATAGCTTGGCCAGAGGTGAAAGTTGGCTGGGCCAGGAGGAAATATATGGTCTACACAAAGGTGGGATCAAGAATACATGTACTAAGTCCTGGAACAGCCAGCCTGGAAGGCTGGACTTGCACTTATAGGGTGGTACAAAGAAAAGTAGCTAAACAGTAACTGGTAAAGAATAGTGATTCTATTCCTTCTTAACAATGCAGAATTATCTTGTTTGTTTTGGGCCCCACCCATGTCATGGGGGCTGGGGGCTACAACTGATTCAGAGTTCAACGGTTGCTCTCAGTGGAGCTTGGGCACAATGTGGCACTGAGGATTGAACCTGGGTATCCTATGCACACACCAATTATGCTTTCCCTCTAGCCTCAAAATGCAGCATTTCAGATGTTGATAAACCTTATGTGTGATGACTTTTGAATGTTAAATTGTAAGATATTTGGCTAAAAAGAAAAAAGTCTTCAGCTGTAAAATAGCATTTTCCCAGTAAAAGCAAAGATTACAAATACAAGGTCAAGACCATTTAAAACTGCAGGACCCCCATGAAACAGAATATTATAAGAACAAGCTTTTTCTTCAGGTTAAAATGCATGCAGTAATTTTAGTTGACTATTGTACAAATTTCAGGGAATTTAGCTAAACAAAGAACAGGGATATCAACTTATGGACAATGAAATATTTATAAAGTTCATGATATGGAAGGAGTTTATTTTAGTATTTAACTGATCCTAACCCCAGCCACACACTTTTTTTTTCTTTTTGGGTCACACCTGATGATGCACAGGGGTTACTCCTGGCTCTGCACTCAGGAATTGCCCCTTGTGGTGCTCAGGGGACCATATAGAATGCTGGGAATCGAACCTGGGTTGGCCGCATGCAAAGCAAACGCCCTACCCGCTGTGCTATTGCTCCAGCCCCCCAGCCACACATTTTTAACAAAAGCTCTGCATCACAACTTTCAAAGTTTTGTCCAGACCTTATGAAATAACAATATTCAGAGTTGACTGTCAAATTACAAAGTTTTTCTTGAGCTTGATTTGTAGCAGTGATGACAACCATCATTTTCTAGATTTTTGTTATCTATGACTTATAAAGGTAAAGGCCCTCCCGTTGATCGTCGATTTGCTCGAGCGGGCCCAGTAACGTCTCCATTGGAGACTTTGTTGTTACTGTGTCTGGCATATCGAATACTCTCGGTAGCTTGCCGGGCTCTCCGAGAGGGTTGGAGGAATCGAACTCGGGTCGGCCATGTTGGCCGCGTGCAAGGCAGACGCCCTACCCGCTGTGGTCACAAGTAATACTTCTCTTGTGAATAAGTAAGCAAATAGAGAGCACCTATAATAATAAACATTTAGAACTCATATGATAGTTCAATAGGTAGGACATTTGTCCCTGGTACCCCACATGAACCTAAGGGCATTGACAGTAGTCATTTGTTAGTGCAGAGCCAGGAGTAATCCCTGAGCACTGCCAAGTATAGCCCCAAAGCAAAATAAATAAATAAATAAATAAAAATAAACAGGGGCTGGAGAGATAGCACAGCGGGTAGGGCGCTTGCCTTGCATGTGGCCGACCCGGGTTTGAGTCCCAGCTTCCCATATGGTCCCCTGAGCACCGCCAGGAGTAACTCCTGAGTGTAGAGCCAGGAGTAACCCCCATACATCGCTGGGTGAGACCCAAAAAGCAAAAATAATAATAATAATAATAATAATAATAATAATAATAAACATTCACCAACAACCAAGTGCTAAGTTGGTACAGACACTGCCTCATGCTTTTTAAAAATATTGTTATCTTCCTAATATCCAGCAACACAGGCATTAATTAAAATAGCTACTTACAGTTGAGGAAACCAAGTATCAGAAGTTAAAAGTTAATTTGCCCCCAGTAAACTGTTGTAAATTAGGGAAGCAGAGAGCCAAGCTTTCTACTAACCCCACAGGCCATAATCTTTCTAATTCATTAAGCCATCTACTTATTATGGGAGAAAATGTCTAGAACAAGGAGCAAACAGGCATCACTAGGTCATTTTCTTTTTCTGTATCAATTTCATGAATGAATGCAATAGAACTTGCCATCATGACAGCAGAAGTTCTTTTACCCTGTGAGTTTATTCCTGAGGTCACAGATTCTAGATTCTTACTTGGTATTAAAAGGGAATGATGTTTAAAATTAAAGGGTAAAACTTTTCACCAAGAACTTTGTTAAAATGATCACATCTAGTCAGCAGAATCCTGGAAATGCAAACCCAGCAGTTTACCTGGTTGTTGTTGGTTTTTAGTAAGGGTGGTGGGGGTTCATGATGTAGGGATGAAGAAGCAGAACTGCTTTCACTGTCACTGCCATCGCTCAAGCTAACTCTGAAAGGAAAGAGAGAACACGTATGCATTATTAGAAACAGACAACTTTTAACTACCCTTAGAAATAGGCAAAGAGCTAAGGAGCTAAACACTGATCAATGAAAATGTGTTTCATTCATGCAACTGCTCTTTCACACTGGTTCTTACTTACTTTGTCTTATTTGGAGTCTGGGGTCATACCTGGTAGTGCTCAGAGATTACTCCTGGCTCTGCATTCATAAATCACTCATGGGGGACTGTATGGGATGCCAGGGGTCGATCCTGGGTTGGCTGGGTGCAAGGCAAATGCCTTACTCACTGTACTATTTCTCTGGCCCCTTGGTGCTTCCTTTATATATGAAATGGAAGGGTTTTACCTATTTCTCATTTAATGATCCTGCCTCTTATTTTCAGATGAGAAAATTGAGATTCACAGAGACTGGGTCACTCATCTAAAGTCAGAGGTAAAAGTCTCCCTGTTTGTGGGCTCTATTATCAAGGGCTAAATTTAGAAGTTCAGCAAAAATAGAAAACGTGTAGTTACAGACTTCTGTCCCTTCCTGTCCCCTCCTTACAGGTAAAGATCATAAAAATGACTAAAATACAAGTTTCAGGCTAGAAGCAACAGCCAGAAGCACCGGGACGGTGGCCCCACATGACTGACAGCTCAGAGAGGCAGTTAACGATGGGCTCTGTGAATCACCACCCCTCATTTCTAATGTGGAATGAATGATTCAAGGCTGTTGCTAGTTCCAAACATTCACAGGAAATACACTACAGCAACCTGAAGACAGTGTGTGCTCGGCTAGCTGCTTTAGGAAAATATGTATCTTTCAACAATGAAGGACAAGAAAAATAGTACCTCCTCCATCATGTTTTTTGTTTGTTTTCAGAATGAAGTAGAATTCTCTTTCAGCAGAGTAAGAGATATATTTTCACTCTGCTCTGCTTGAGAATCTAGCCCTCCTTTGGTGGTTGTTCTCTTGTATGGCTAGACAGTAAACTCCTGTAATACTCTCAGAAACAGAAAATGCTTGAGATATCAGGAATTTGTCTTTTGCTCTGAATAGGCAATAACATTCTACTTCTGTAATATATTCAGAGAGACAAGATAAAAGACAGGAAATGAAAAGGATATACTGGGGCAGCCTTTCGGTAAAAACGAAGGGTGCTTGTTTTCCTTAACTAAATTACATTAATGAAGTGCTCAGTTGAAGCACAGCTTTAAAATGCTTCTTGACTGAAGTGGAAAGCTGAGTATTTAAACTGATTAAACAGTTGAGACTTCACAAGTGCAATGCAGATCAAATGTTATCCTGGTGCTGCTCTGCTAACGGCTCACGTCAGGCAGGGGAAGAGCCTCGCAGATGATATGCAACACATTAGACAATTCACAGATGGGTATGATCTGACCACACTCATTCAGGAGGTCAGGCTGCGTGTGGATTATAGAATACCAAGATATTATGCAGGACAGTAACTTAGGAAATTGTCTAATGGGTCATGAACTTTTCATCAGCTAAATCTGCAAGCAGCCAGACAATTTTGGTTATTACAAATCGGCTACTCACTCCATTTTGCCCTATTTCTTTGTGTCAGATTGAAAAACTTCCTGGAGGCTAGTTCCAGATCTGTACTTGGGGGTCACCCAGTGATGCTTGTGGGACCACGCAGTGTTGGAGACTGAACCCAGGCCTCCTGCATGCAGAGTACACAGTCAGTTCATTGACTATTTCTCTGGCCCCAGATAAAAAAAAACTTCTAAAGGAACATGTTATATGATCAAAGACAAATGATTCCACATTTTCTTCTTTTTTACAAGCAAAAGATGGAGAAATGTATATATGTAGCCTTAATCTTGAAGAGATTCAGTAGGGCAGAGACTCTTAAGAGTATCAGCTGAAAGACCACTATGGAATTACCAATTAGGGAACATAATATGTCCAGTTTGGATTAAGATTGCTCTCTCTTAAAGAATTTTATGGCCTTTTGCATAGTAATGGACAATGATTAAAGATTTAATTCAATATATTATAAAATGGATAATGGATAAAGATTTAATGTGACATTTTCTAAGTGCAACTGGATTTTAAGTTCAAGTAGATTCATACTTTTTCTACTCAAAATATAGTCAAGTAAGAATGCATATTTGTTTTCCTCACTCATGATAAAGAAGTAAAGTCCTCAAGGCAATTTCAAGTTGACTATTAATTATAAGTGACATGAATTACCATCTTATAATGTGGAATTATGCCTCAAAGCATTAAAGCTACTTAAGGAACCTAATTGTCAGCACACTTAAAAGGAATTTATTTGCTGGAAAACACACACAGGTGATCTTAGCTTTAATTAGGTCACACACATAATTCACTGAAGCCAATTATGTATTTCTCACTACAAACGCAAACACATTTCTTCAAATTCTGAGATAACCTACAGCAATGAGTCTTTACAAACTCCTCTGATGATAAACAGACTTTATTTCAGCAGTCAATCCTGCCATGCTGGCATAAGCTTTCACAAACAAGAAATTCTAATGTCTTTCTTATACAATTTTTGGAGGGGAAATCTCTTGGGAAACAAGTGGGGGAGAATAAAGAGTTTCCTTTGGAGATGAGCGCAAGCAAGGCAAGGGATTCAATTTCCCTCAAATTCCCATGAAAATGCCCACTTACTGCTATCGTTTCTGGCGTTTGTCACCTTTGCTGTGATTATCCACAGTGGATCTAGGGAGAAGGCATGATTCCACTACACGGAGTAGCTTGCCTTCCAAGACACTCACCTGCGACTACGGCTGCCTCCTCTATTTACAGGCCTTTCCATTTCAGAGTCATTATCATTCTCCTCTGCCTCATCTGATTCCTCCTCATTGTCATCGGAATGCAGATCTTTCATTATAGACCTTAAAGGACCTGTGTAATGACAGTGAACCACAATCAAATACTACTTCAGACTTAGCCATATTAGACACACGTAAAGCTCACCAGAGCTGAACATTTCTTAAAAATAACAATGATCACTTGTACTTAGACAATTTACAAACTTCTAGAATGCAGCCTCCGCCAAACATTAGTTTTTTCCATAAGAGATGTCCCCAAATAGTCATTATAAAAGATTTATTTTCTAGAAAATATTTTTTATGTATTTTGCACCCTTAAAAAAATTACACCTAAAATGAAACAAAGATCTATTAGTGAACTGAATGTTTTGTTAGGTTAATCCATGCATTGAAAAGTTGAGGCTAATAAATCTCTGTGGTTGCAACTTGTTCTTGGCAATGCAGCCTTTGTGTGGTAGTTTTTGATCTATTAAGGTTTAGCTGTTCCTTTTATTTCAAGGTCAATTCCAGGTCAAGCAAGCATTTCAGTCAAGTTCAGATTATAAAGTATTTCAATTCTATGCTAAAGTGTTCTATCTCTGATCTTCATATTAGACACAAGGTCTTATTGCAACAGTTTTTTGCAACCAATTTCATTTTACTTTTTAAGAAATTCCTGGCAAAATATCAGCATGAATTTACATAAATAAGACCATGTAATAAATCAGGTGCCCAGAAAATTCAAGAGAGAATTCAGTATTAGATAGGAGAAAGGAAGGGATAAAGGCATACATTTTATTCTAGAACAGGACAGAATTGAGAAAAAATAGAAAAACTCATTTGTGTAGTTTATATTCATTATCTTACTCTAAAGGCAATGAAAACAAGATAGGTCTTTTAAATCTTAGGAGAAGAGACTGTAAAGGCATTAAGAATATGGAAGAAGTACTTTCATTCTGGATTAGACATTTTAAAGTCTAATCTGATAGAAATGGCTGAGCTATCACTGACATTCCTAAAATAAGTACTGATTCTTTGCAATATAACAGTCTGCAAAACCTAGCCTCTCTGCTTTTGCAGCGGGCTTCAGTAGAACAAGAAATCTGAATAGCCAAATGATCTGTGTCTTTAATTTTTTCCTAGAAGATTAGCTTTAGCCCAAACACACAATTTAATCCTTTTCAAAACACACAAAGCCATTAGGAATTCAGTGCGATCAACACAAAAAGGTAAAACGTGCATTATACTACTCAAAAACAAATAATTCCTTCAACTCTCAGGTCTGTTGTTTTTTAAAAAAAGGCTATAGTGGAAAATCTCTCATACATCATGAAAGTGGAAGACACACATGGCCGGTTAAAATTCTTTATTAAATTTAAACTAAATTTTAATCGAGAAAAAATTATTTTAAATACAGCTAATTAACACTGGCCAAAGGAGAATGTTCACTTTCTGTAAGGAAAAAAAAAGAAAGAAAGAAAAAGAAAAAAAAACACAAATAAAATAAAAAATGTCCAGGAGAGAGATTAAAAACCCATTTCTTTATGTCGAAGCCTCTCAAGTCCAGCTTTTGCTATTGTATTTCCTTTGGGAACTCCCTGGAAAGGGCCATGTCTATAATCCTTTTGTAAAATAGAACTGTGATGGCAGAGACGAGGAAAAGGGGGATTTCTCAAGCCAAGCCTCATATATCAGAACAATACTCAAGTGCATTCCTAAGGGAAATAAATGCAACTGCATAAAAACCAAGTTATCATTCAAATAATAAAAAAGCAGAAAATAGGCCATACATCAACTCATTAAGATATTTTATGAGGAAATGTCTCAGAGTTTGCCTGAGAGCTGCGGATACCTTGTTGCCTGGTCTGGGATGGTGTGAAGCTGGAGCTGGAACTGGAGCTAGAGCTGGCAGGACTGGGTTGCTCAGACTGCAAAGAAGAAGAGAAAAGCATTGTCAGTGAAATTTAGGGGACACACATCTCAAAATTAAGACCCATCTAATTGCTCAAAGATACTTTGCTCCGCAAAAACTGACGCTGCATGAAGAACATAAGGCTACACTGCATTATGTAAAACACTTATATAGGAGAGTAATGGTATTGCTTTGGTTTTGTCCACCAGGTTTCAACCAGATATAGAAACAAGTATATAAACTCAAGGATAAAGAGATAAAGTCCTGGGCATTGCCTGAGAGAAGGATCTGGCTTTGATTTCATTCCTGTTTACTGTAGTAAAGAGAACTCTTTTTAAAAGTTACCTTGATTCCACGCAACATCATATGTCATTCATAATAAGCACTAAAAAACAAATTGTCTACTGTTGCCTTTTCAGCAGATCTGAGTGTTGGAGTAAAGACCCAAAGAATAATAGTTGGTCTGGTATCAAAATATTGAATGTAATCAAAGTAGAGAGAGAGTAATGTGGAAATCATCTGCCCCACAGGTAGGGGGAGGGTGTGGGATGGGGGTATACTGGGGTTTTGGTGATAGAGAATGGGCACTGGTGAAAGTACGGGTGTTTCACTATAAGACCGAGACTTAAACCCGAAAGCTTTGTAACTGCTCTCATGGTGATTCAATAAATAAAATTATAAAAAAAATGAAAAAAATAGTAAGGTGGAGTTCATGCCCAATGCAATCAGCTAATCAGTGGCTGAATAAATAGCAGTACTTCTACATAAAATAAATAAATATATAAATAAAAGTTACCTTGATTATTACCCTTTCTGCAATATTCGATTGACTCAACTGGTTAAAACACAGTAGTAATGAGGCCAAGGTCATCAGTTCAATCACATTATGAGCCAGTTAATTTCACTCTGGTCCAAGGCCATGACCCAACCCTAACCCCATTCATCCACAGTTCACAACTGGGAGTCAATGTTCACAAGGAGACCTGTCCAAGTCTTACCAATGAGTTCATGGAAAATGTCACCACTTTAAATCAAAGCAAAACAAAATCTTTCATTTTGCAGTCTATTTGTTCCATAGAACATAGGGAGAGAGTGAGAGTGAGAGAGAGAGAAAGAGAGAAAGAGAAAGAGAGAACATGACACACTACTCCAACCTCTCTCTCAATAAGCTATCATCCTTTAATACTCCAAACAAGTTTTGTTTCTTCCTTGACCTACCCTAATCACTGTATCTACTCCAAACCCACTGAAAACATGTCCCATTTATTTACTTATCAAATATGCTGCAGCCTTATGTTGCTTCTGTGTTTTTTCTGTTTCCTAGTAGGCTACAAATATGGGGTAGAAGGTCTGCCTATTGCCCCCTGTTAACCCTTACACTTAGCACACTGCACTGTGTTGAGCAGTCTCTAACTGTAACTGATGGTGGCACATTAGGTCCTCTCTTTTACCATCTGCACATTTTTTATAAGATACTTTACAGTAGGTAAAGATGAGAAGAACAAACACATGGACAGAATTGTGCATGGAAGTGGTCCAAACCACCCGAAGACTTGGTGCTGGTATGCATATTTAAGGACCAATTTAAAGTAACTCAATCACAATGACAGATTTATATGAGTTCCCCTCCATTTCTAATGTCTTCAGTGTCTCAACAATATACTTAAGTCATATGAATAATATTTTCAGTATTCCCAAGGATAATTTTTGTTATTTCATTTATTGGATGAATACATTTCACAGAACCTCAGGGAAGCTAAAGACCATAAGGGCTGGGAAGAATACTCAAAGGGCTGGAGCACCTGCTTTGCATTCAGGAGGTCTGGGGTCTGATCCCCTATTTCTTGAGCTAGGAGTAATTTCCAGGACCTTTGGGTATGGCTCCCAAGTCAAACAAAATAATTAAAATAAAGTAAGAGTAGAATCAGAAGTCACTAAGTGGCACTCACTAAGCCACTAAGTGATACTAAGAATTGCAGTGAAGAGCAGTTTCTCACCACCGACTTTTACATCTCCCTTCTAGCCCCAAACTCCCACCCACTCTGCAGCAACCCCACACTCTACAGACCGGGACACAAGGAAGCACTTTCAGCATTCCTGGTGCACACTGCACATCCTCGGGCTGGATGGGAAAACAGGTGTCAGCAATCTACCACTCACTCCGCAGGATAAGAGCCAGACAGGATCTCTAATGAGCAGCAGGCGGCCCACCAACACTTTACCACTGCAAGATTTACTTGAGATTAGTAGTACAATGTCCTACACATTGCCGTTTGGGGCCCACAGAGAGTTGGTTTACAAGTATGGACGCCTGAGTGTGGTGTTCTTCGCTCCTGCTGAGCGGCTCTGCCACTGGCAAGCCCCACCGGTGAGCGGCACGATGGAGAGGGCATTCAGTTAGTGTTGCTGCTGTGCAACGCCCAGCTGCAAACATTTCTCCCAAGGTCTGCAAAGTACACCCTTTCCTCTCTACGTTGCTCTTTTCAGCCATGAAAAGTATCTGGAAACCATTTGGGAGCCAAAAGAGTAGTTTCCTTACTCTGAGCAGAGAGCGATCTCATTTCCCATCCGGCCTGACCAGTGCATGCTGTGCTGGACTTAGCCGAGCCATACTGAAAAAGCTATTTTCTGAGAGTGACATTAATGAGGATAACAAGAGAGGATGGTGACCACGTCTCTCCTCCAGACTAAACCTGATCCACCTGTCTCAGACACCATGGCAATGTCAAAACCGAGCCTAGAGGAAGACTTTTTAACAACTTAACCATAAATAAGGTTAATAAATGCACCATTCCTAATTATGAAATGATAAACACATTGCAAATAACAGGAATTCTGAAAAATTAGGAAAAATACTTCTCATGCAATATTTATCATTAACACCTTGTCCCTTCCACAAAGCAATATAGAAGGCGTAAAATAACAGACATAAATTAAATGAGCATATTAAAATAGAAAGTGCAACAACAGAGGTTAGAGAAGAATAAAATGTTGAATTATGGGAAGTAATGCAGTGTCCTCAAAGTTTTATACAATTAAGGATTTGTGGGATTTTAGAATCAATTCAGAGAACTTCAAGACAATTGATGACAGTGATTTTCACTTTGGTGGGTATTCAAATCTCTTGGAACACTTGTTAAAACACAGACTGGGGATCCCCACCCCAGACTTTCTTATTCAATAAGTCTGGAATGGGTAAAAAAAAAAACAGAAACAGAAACCTAGATTTCTTAATAAATTTCAGGTGTTGCTGTTATTTTGAGAAGCAACCAGACTTTTTGAGACACAACAATTCAGGGCCCAGAAATTCCTAGTCATTGATATTCATCAGAATCTCTGTGTCTGTGGTGCGGCTGGGATGGTCTCAGACTGAGAAGATTCGGAGTCAACAGGTTTGAGTTGGGTTGGTGGATGGCATTTAAAAAATGATATCAGTGAAAATTCCAGGTTGAGCACCAGTGGTGCAAAATGAAAGCATGTTTCTGAGAGCATCTTAAAGGTTATGTAAGAGTAAGCATCACGGAACTGGAGAGCTAGATATTGCAGCAGGTATGGCACTTGCTTTGCATGAAGCCAACCAGGATTTGATTGTTGGCATCCCATTTGGTCCCCCAAGCTCCACCAGGAGTGATGGGGGTGAGGGGTGGTTAAGAGCCAGGAGTAAGCCCTAAGCACAGTTGTGGTTCCCAAATTTAAAAACTTACTGATCTATCCAGGGGTAGCATCCCTGCATAACTAAAGTGTTTTCTGCAAGAAAACCTCTGAAAAGAACATAGTTACCATTCAATAACAATATTTCTTTTTAAAAAAAATTTTATTAGTGAATCACAGTGAGGTACATCTACAGATTTACATATTTTTGTGCTTGAGTTTCAGTCATTCAATGCTCGAGTACCCATCTCTCCACCAGTGCCCACCCTCCACCACCGATGATTCCAGTCTCTGTGGTGTGAGATGATATCTCATTGTTGTTTTGATCTGCATCTCCCTGACAAGCAGTGATTAAGAGCATTTTTTTTAATGTGGGAGTACTGCTATTTATTCAGCCACTGATTAGCTGATTGAATTGTGCATGAACTCCACCTTACTTTTTTTTTTCATTTTTTATAATTTTATTTATTGCGTCACTGTGAGAGCAGTTACAAAGCTTTCGGGTCTCAGTCATACAATGAAACACCCGTACCTTCACCAGTGCCCATTCTCCACCCCCCAAAACCCCAGTATACCCCCATCCCACACCCTCCCACTCCCTGTGAGGCAGATGATTTCCACATTACTCTCTCTCTACTTTGATCACATTCAATATTTCGACACCAGACCCACCATTATTATTTGAGATTTTACCCCAACACTCAGATCTGCTGAAAAGGCAACAGTAGACAATTTGTGTTCTATTGCTGGTTATGAATAACATATGATGTCACATGGCTACAGTAGGGCCATGTGATTTTGAAATTCCGAAATTTTAACACTTAAATATGGAGGGATTTCTGCCAAAAGCCACTGGGTTTCGAAATTTGCTCCTGGGTCTCTGGGATCATGGCCGTTGAGCAGCTTGATCAGGAGCCAGGGAGGCCGTTCATGGGCAATGACTTGGGGTCTTATTGGGGTGGGGAAGACAGGCCTGGCTCCACCCCCATCCCGTGAGGCCTAACAAGTTTCGTCACTGCGGGCCCAAGCCTGACTGTCCAATGGCCTCTGGAGGATGACGGCCACCGAGCCTCTAGGGGGAAGCAGGCAGAGGGACAGCACCCTTTCCTCCCTAGGGTGGACCAATGACAGTAACCTACTGTGTGGTCCAGACGCATTTCTGCCAAAAGCCACTGGGTTTCGAGATTTGTTTCTGAGTCTCTGGGATCATGGCCGTTAAGCAGCTTGATCAGGAGCCAGAGAGGCCATTTGTGGGCGATTACTTCGGGTCTCATTGGGGTGGGGAGGACAGGACGGGCTCCACCCCCATCCCGTGTGGCTCAAAATGTCTCATCACTGCGGGCCTAGACCTGACTGTCCAATGGC